AAATAATAAACTTTATTTACGGAACTGCATTAATTGCATTCACAGAAAGTGCATAAAGCATATCTCAATACAGAAGAAAACCAAATATAAACAGAGAGGAAACAATAATAATAGTAAAAATAATGATAAAGGGGCAACATTATATTATACATAAATTCAAGAACAGGGCGTTAAAGCAGCAGATTACATTTATTCATGAAAGAAAGAAATTTACCAGCACTTTGTGTTCTTACTAATTCTAAAAATTTAGCATAAGATTTTTTTCTCATTTTTCCAATAGGATAAAACTGGTTTACATTTTAATTAACAGCATTTGTGTAAATAAAATGTAGCTAATAAAATGAAAATATTAAAATTAAAAAATGAAAATATTTTTGCAACTATACCAAATAAAGCTATTCTTAGGGTATAATCAGGTAACTGAATTCCTTTAGATTGGATCCATATCAGAAAATCAACCTTTTCTTTGATTTCACTGTAGTCCTTCAGAAAGTTACACCTGTGATAAAAAGAACCACTTCCGTTTTAGATGTGAAACGGTTTATTTCCGACTGTATCAGTGACACGTGAACGCCACAGCCTCGGAACTCTTCATTCGAGGAGGAGGAAAAGAAGAAGAGGGGGTTTTGTTGTCATCCGTCAGGGTAGTGTGTCGAGCTTTTGTCCAGGAGAAATGGCCGGAATTAAAGGTATTAAAAAAAAGGCTCCATCTTTGTTTAAACGCTCCCATAAATGCATTTTATATAACAGTGTTAAGATGCTGAGGAGAAAAGCGGTGTGTTTAAACACCCATCAGGCTAACGGGGGGTGGCTGGGTGGGGGGTTATATTAGCAACGGTTAAGCCGTTAACCGAACCGAGCTGAAACCCCCGCAGTGTTTTAATCGTCCGTTTTTCCACCCTCCGTGTTTAATGGATAGTGTGTAACATCGTGGTTATTACCGTTAGTTCGCCTTTAACCTGAGCCGCTCTCGTTGCTAATTTCGCTGCTCGGATTAACGGCTGCTGTTAGCAGCGCAGCTTCTGGTGGCACGACAAGCGGTTCCACGTGAAACCAGCTGAACATGATAGAGCCTCGTTGTTCTCCTCTGGGGTGATAACTCAGTCTGGTCTCATCTTCTTCCCCCCTACAGCTCTGATCAGCCTCTCCTTCGGAGGGGCCATCGGCCTCATGTTCCTCATGCTTGGATGTGCCCTGCCTGTATATAATAAGTGAGTATAACATTACAAACTGCGTTGCAGCAGATTATAAAGGGTCATGGAGTTTGGAAAAATATGGAATTCTTAAATTTTTTTTTAACCAGGTTTTGGAACTGTATGGAAATAAAAATTGTGTTCCGTTGTTTAAATGTTTTGTCCCATCTTTTATTTAGTTTTCCCCCTTTTGTCCTGCCTTCTTCCCTTCCTTCATACATTTATTTTCTTCATTATGCCCTTATTTCTTCCCCATCTCCTTATGCCCTTACTTCTCTCCCTCTTTTTTCCATTTCTTCTCTCCTCTATCCCCTTCTTTCTTCCTCTATTCTGATTGTCCTTGTTTCATATTCACCTTTCCCCATCCTCTCTATTTACCTTTTTTACTTACCAAGGTCAATCAGTTTAACCGATTGCTGATATGGTCGCTGCCAATATTTTTCTAAGCTGATCCTGTAAACCAGAGGTCACAGTTTAGTGGACGGGACCCAACCTGATTCAATACATTTATAAATTGCTGCATGTTGTCTGATGACAGTGTCTAAACATCACTTGTGCCACTTCTCCTATTACCCCAAAATCCCTCATCCTCCGTCACCGTCCCACAGCGCTCCAGACCTCCTGTGCAAAGCAAAGCCTCCAGCCTCCCGTCTTGCTGCGCTCCGACTTCCTCGGAGCTCGAGGAGAGCATGCACCATATAATCAGTAAATTCGTAGGCGCAAAACATGCAGAAATGAACACTTAATTTAATATGACATACTAAATAATCCCCATCAGTATCCAGCATATGTGCGGTTTCTGATGAAAATGAGAAATCTGCTTCCTGGTCTGTTGAAGAACCAATAGTTTGCATCCAATCTTTTAAATAAACGGGAGTAGTTTATTGAACTATATAAGAATTATGCTCTAATTTGTAGTTATTACCAATCTGTAGTTACTATATTTAATTTAACAAACCAGATCTTCTCGCTGCGATTGCAATAGCGGATCTTGACCTGGCCGGACCGGAGCTGAGCCTTACCCCAGGCTCACACAGACTCCGGTCTTACCGTTGCGGTGCGGTGTGTGCGGCGCCGCAAGGATTCCAAGTCATTAAAAAGACGTAAACCTCTCTCACCGGCTGCTGAGCTGTCCGGCTGCGGTTACCGAGACACTCCG